ATGAAAGGTAGTAACAGGAGCTCACTCCATTATGTGGCATTAGGGATTCAAACCACCAAACTGCTGACTTTCTGATCAGCAAGCTCAGTGTCTTAGCCACTGAGCCACCACGTCCCTTGATAAATTGAATAGAGATATATAAATTAAAGATTGATAGCTATTTTTTATTGCATTTCCTGTCACTATCTTTCATTCATTATTTATTAAGTCTGGATAATTTTATTATTGAACTAGTGACCAAGCTACCCATTTATTTAAATATAAATGCCTAGCTACCCAATTTTCAATACTGGGTTCACTCTATATTGGATTAGGTCTTGATTCAAGCTACCTTGGGATGGATTAAATGCAAGACCCTAATTATTTTAGATCTCCTTTTCTCATCCACATATTGTTCAAATGAAAGATTACCATCACTAAAGAAATCACATCAATACTGTACAACACCAGCAATATATTCCACCCTGTAAGAAATGTCTCTTAGTTTATTTTATAATAGCAAATGGAAGAATAAGGCAAATCTCTTTCCAGTCTACTTTTCTGATAGTGGGATATATTTAAAACAAACAAACAACGGATGCGTGAATGTCCAGCTCTTATTGCACCCCTCCCACTTAGCACAGGCAATGATGGCGTTAGAGGATTGCAATACAGGGAATACAATTATATGGGCATGCAACTTTATGAAATGTATTTTTTTCTCTTAGTTGGGTGTTAGGACTGCTAAGCCAATTAGAGAGGGCTCTGAAGAGCAAGAAATAAATAAGGGTATACGGTTTTTGGAATGGAGCTTCGGAAGGAAGACAGAACACGCAAAGAACCTCAACCAAGAGACTTTTTGAAAGCTGTAAAGTGATCTCGGGGAAGATCCCGTCATATGAGAGGGACAAGAAAGGCGAGTGATTTCCCTTGTGAACTTTAGCCAAAGGATTGAGCTGATTTTTGCCAGGTTATCACAAATGAAGCAGACGTATTTCTTCTCCAGATATATAGCTTCAGAAGCAAAGCAACGACATTGTTTGGAGATGGCAAGGCAGAGGGTGAGCAGTCTCAATTTGACCTTGGCTATTCTTTGCTGGAGCTAAAATTTAGACTGAAAATTGATGAATTGATGGTGTTTTTGATGCTTTCTATGTGTTATGTTGTTGCGGTGACAGAACAAAACTGCTGTGATTTTTACTCTAAGATTTGACATTATCTATGACAAGTCATTTGACATTCAGATTGATTGTTTTGCCTGCTAAAGGCAGATTCCGTATCTCACATGGATAAATGACAGGGATGAGATATGGAATTCATTATCCTTTAATCCAACAATATAGGCATGTTTTAAAATTTTACTAAAAAAAATGAACTATGCTATCTAAATAAAGCACTTTGGAACTCATGTACTTTTTTAGATGGGAAAGACACCTAGTTAAAGTCCTGAATGCATAAAAGCAGAAATCAGTACATTGGGGAAGACCTTCAAAGCAAAAACACTTTAGTCTTCTTCACATTATGAGTTATGTTCCAGATAGAAAGTTACCTAGTGCCAAAACAGATGGTGTGGTAGACTTTTTTAATTCATGCATATAAATGGTGCATGTTAAATATGGTTAATATAAGATTAAATATGTTGGATCTTACATTTTTTTTTTATAACACCCTTCCACGTGGGTAGGCAAATTGAGAAGCATTCACTATCATCTGCTTCAGAGTATTTGTGTTAAATAGTGGCAACGTTAGCGGGTTTTGACACCTAGATGTTTTTCCGCTGTTCTGGACTACAACACCCATAATCTCTGATGGCTCCCGTGCAGGCTGTGGCTGACAGAACTATAAATAGGGCAGCAAAAGTTCTAAACTTATAGTCAACCAATGGAGAATGGGTTTGAAACCATACATAGAAATTGAAGTTATTTATCATGCTATTCAAAATTTTGAGCCCACTCAGAGTTTTTGTTCAATATGATTGAAAATATAATCTTGGTAGGACCAATAGACAGATTATAGGTCTGACAAATCTATTTCTCCCTTTTTTTAAAAACAAAACCAAGAAATTTATTCATCAGACTCAAAATTAGAAGGGTAGCAAATGAGATTTTTATATATTTAAAATTCAGAACCTATGTGCTCCTGGTCATATGCTCAGCCTAAGAATTAGTTTCCATCAGGTGCAGTTTCTTACACCTGATGGAGCCCGATTCATGCATAGGACCCGATAGTTTTCTTTTTATAGTGATCTAATACACTGGCAGGGAAAATATTTATTGATAACCTATTGGGAGTTAGAAATACTTGAGTCTCTATTATCAGTCTTCTTTTTTTTTAATGAAAATTTAAAAAAACAAACTTTTACAAATATTTACTTCCCTCCCCCCCCCCTCCCCCGACTTCCCAGAACCAATACAAGGTATCAATCTTTAACAAAAACATTCTAAAATAAGCTTAAAAAGAAAAAAAGTTAATAACATCTTTCACTTCAGCTTTAACTCCTCCTTGCTAGGCCAGCTCTAAACAATTTATATTATTCCCGGTTTCTTTAGTTATAAGCTAACTGAAATTTCTTACTCCCTTATTTATTTTGAATATAATCAATCCATCTTTTCCACTCCAATTTATATATCTCGTTTGAATGATCCTTAAGATATGCAGATATTTTAGCCATCTCAGCTAGGTTTGTTACTTTCAATGTCCATTCTTGAATAGTAGGCAAATCTTCCTTCTTCCAGTATTGCGCCACCAACAGTNTGCACACTACGTCTGCAAATAGTAGTCAAGGATAAATATAAACTAACCATGATTTGAGCATGTCCATTAGGAAATGAACTTGATGAATCTGCATTGATTGGATCTTGGCAGTTTCTCAAACGACATCTAAATGCATCTTGAACCTGGCGAGATATAACAGTTATTTAATATACTTAAAAATCATAGACAAATTATTAAAGCTACAGTAAACAACTTCTTGATTCATCATTATTTTCTCATTTGGTTTCAAACGATGTTTGTAGTGACATTATGATAATTGTACAAGCACAGCAAGCAAATCAAAGCAAATATTAAAATTGGACTAGCACAGGCCTGTGAATAGCTCTTCAGAAGAATGTCCCAGTGAGACTTATTCCCAGGGAAGTAGGAATTGGACTAAAGTCACAGATCTTTTGTTCAGTATGCCAAAGCTATTTGACTTCCTCGATTAGAACAATAAATGCATCCAACCTTAAATGAGCATAATGGTAAAGGCCACTTAGACAATTAATGGGAAGAAATCCAGCATGTTTCTTTCCATAAATATGGATCCACATCCTTTCCCTGACAACTCTTAAGTACTAACAGTACTGCCAAAACTGGCACCAATATAGAAAAAACAAATATTATAGCACCATAATGGTCTTTTGAGGAAAAAAAGCTACCAGAGTGATTCTATCTGGAAAAAAAAATATTCAGATAAATTCTAAACAATATATCGTGCCTAGGTCACTGATACAAATATCCTAGCCATGTTAATTTGTGATGGTCAATCCTTAGCACGGATTATCAGGGAGCTATGACAGTAATCTAATCCCAGTGCCTAGAGGCTGTAAGGATCTGGATGGAGAGGAACAGGTTAGGGGTAAACCTTAGCATAATGTGTAGAGCCGAGGTGGCGCAGTGGTTAAATGCAGCACTGCAGGCTACTTCAGCTGACTGCAGTTCTGCAGTATGGCTGTTCAAATCTTACCGGCTCAAGGTTGACTCAGCCTTCCATCCTTCCGAGGTGGGTAAAATGAGGACCCAGATTGTTGGGGGAAATATGCTAACTCTGTAAACCACTTAGAGAGGGCTGAAAGCCCTATGAAGCGGTATATAAGTCTAACTGCTAACTAACTCACTAGTGGGTTCAGAAACTGGCTAATTCTGAGACAACACCATCTTTAACAGAAGACAATGTTGTGATTCCCCAGAAAGAGCAGGTGTAGAATTTGAGGGTGCTCTTGAACTCACAGCTTCTGCTAGTCTAACAAGTTGAAACTATGACCAAAAGGTTTTCTGGGTGTGGTTGAGATGCTCCTAATTCCCTTTCCATTTTATATTGCTTTGGACCTGGCTATCTGAGAGACTGCCAGCTCTAAGCAGAAGTTGTCCACCTAAAGCATGCTTGTAGAAAGTGTTTCCTGAGAGTCTTTACTCCTCATGAATTACAATGAGAGGCAATCAATGAGGAGGAATCTTTGCCAAAACCCCCTCTTTTTATACTGTCCTATCAGACATAAGATCTGCACCCGCACTCTGGGCATATTTGATGTTTTTCAAACACCATTCGGGTACCAAGGGCTAAATTGGCAGAGGTACCTTGGTGGATGGTGATTTTTAAGTTCCGAGGATGGTTCACCCACAAAAGGGCGAATGACAAAAGCGTGCCTGACTAAACCGCGGTGACAAAACTGCGAGTTCTAAAGCGCGCCGACAACAGCGCGCCGACAGAAGCGCGCTGTAACCCTAACCCTAACCTTAACTCAAATTGCGCTTC